AAGAGTTAGTTTATTGTTTACATTATAACTATGTTATAGAAAGTAGGAATTTTTATTGACTGTCTTATATTTATATTTTCAGAGCAATTAAAGAAGGGATAAAAATAAAATGCAAGTTACAATAAAAGAACCGAAGAATTATGTCATTAACAATTATCGTGTATATGTGAAACTTTGAAAGTCAATAAAAAGTACCTAATTATATAACCATCGTAATTTTCTTTTTATCAAGAACAAAATCACTCGCCTTCATCTGTGCTTTCATGTTAAAGAAGTAATAAAACTTTAATCGTAAATCTCTCAAAAACTAACTAAAGACCCGAAGGAGTTGCACTCTCCTTGTAAGTTAAAATTTTTTCAATACAAAAATTTGAAGTTGGCAACACTGATTACACATCATAACGTGACGTTGACATCTAATGCTTCGTATGTATAAAACGTACGTTACCCGATCAGTTCATTGGCAATTCTTTTTGCATGGTTTGTAATTAAATTTTGACATAATCTATATATTTTAAAATAATTTAAATATTTGTATATAGTTTATTACCATGATGAGATTATATCAAACAATTTGTTGAAATTCTATGTACATATTGCTTCAAAATTTAAACTAATACAACTGTGTAAATAAAGCTTATGTTTACACGTTTCAATATTTTATCAAAGTTTTTAAATGTAGTAAAATATTAAACTAAAACAATGACAAATATTACATAAAGATTGAAAATTATACACAATCGAAATACCATTTGCTTGTTTAATTTGTAGTTTATATTAATATTTCATGACACTTGTTTTACAGATCTATTATAATCTTTGTCATAAAAGTAGCTTAATCAACCGCCAAAATTGAGAATAAAATGCGAAGAACTCATACAAGTAGGTTAACCAATGGTGAAAGTTCAAAGTGAAATGTAATTGATGTAATTGATGTAATGTTAATTTTTTTTATGATAGATTATGCTTATGAACCATTGCCAACCACAAGCCATGGGGGCTTGGAAGATGAAAATGAAAGAATGACAGAACATTTAAAAGATAAAATTCATGCTTTGAAATCCTTGTCGATTGACATTGGAAATGAAGTACAATATCAAGATAAAATGCTTCGTGACATGGTAAACTACACATCAATATGTATTTTTAAAGATCTATTGAATGTAAGGTATACATAGAAACATATAAAAAAAACTTTTTATTATTAGGATGAAGATTTTGAAAGAACAAGTGGTTCATTAACAGGTTCAGTTGCACGTGTATTACGTTTATCCAAAGGAAGTCATTCTTATTACATTTTATATTTATTGTTATTTTCCATAGTTGTCTTTTTCATATTATGGGTAACATTGAAATTTTTTTAACAGAAACATTTTAATATCAAAGAAGTATTTAAAGGGAAGGATTATATCTATAAAGTGTTTTATTGCATATGTATGTATAATAATTTCAAAGTATAATATTCAATATTTGTGTATAAAAGATAACAATATTTTAAACCTATTTTATATATAATTTTTTATATATTTAAATGTAAATAAATTAAGTGTAAATAAGTTAATCTATCTTATTGAAGTGTAAATAAATTAATCTATCTGTAAGACTTGCATATGTACAGATATATATATTTATATACATCTAATGTATATAAATATATTTTAATTAATGTTAAATAATTGTACATCCTTGAAACACTTATAGTTGTAATGTTCGTAAGTTGGCGACAATGATCAACACTGTATATAGTAACCTATGTCATCGAACGATTGGGAGTTCACGTGTAAAGTAGTTACACATGGTGTGAAGTATTAATTCTGTATTTCAGTTAAATTAAAGAGTAAACCAAAATGAAACTCAAAAATTTACTTGTAAATCCTTTAAGTCGAGTTCGAAAAGAGAAAAGTGAAGAAGAATCGAATACTTTAGAAAACAAAACATTAGAGGTTAATTTACCATCAAGCAGCAATTTTAATCACATAAAATGCAAAATAGTTCGGCATCAAAAATGTCAGAAATTAATGAAAGAAAAAGCAAAAGCCAAAAAGGAAGCTAGGAAAAAGAGAATTCAAGAAGGTGGTCCAAAGCAAGTTCCACATACTATCGAAAGCTTAAGGGAGAAAGATGAAACTACTATCACTGGTGATCTTGATGATGAAGAGAATGAAGAGCTTAAAACTGATTTCGAACATGACGAATTTGCTGCCTATTATAGGCATGCATATGAGCCTAAAGTTTTAATTACCTATTGTGACAACCCAACCAGAAAAACTAGAATTTTTGGTAGAGAACTAACAAGGATAATACCAAATTCTATTTCTTTATATAGAAATCGTTCTAGTGTAATGAAAATGGTTAAAAGTGCAACTGCAAGAAACTTTACTGATATTATAGTTATTAATGAGGATCAATGCAAACCCAGTATCCTTTATGTACATTTATAATAATCAAATAACTTCAAGAGAATTTTGTATTATTTACATTTATTGTTTTCCTTATGAACCTTCTCAGATGGTATGTTAATTATTCATCTACCTGATGGACCAACAGCATTATTTAAACTTAGCAATGTTAAGATAACACCAGAATTAAAACGTAGTCATAAAGAAATTTCTGGACATAGACCAGAAGTTATTTTAAATAATTTTACTACCCGCTTGGGTTATACAATTGGTAGAATGTTGGGAGCACTGTTTCATTATGAACCTGAATTTCAAGGCAGAAGAGTCGTAACATTCCATAATCAAAGAGATTATATATTCTTCAGACATCATAGGTAAAATTCAATGTTTATTATAATAGAATGCTTAACAAAAACAAAATAACATAAATAACATTACAGATATCAGTTTGACATTAAAAGAAGTAAACCAAAACTGAGAGAATTAGGACCCAGATTTACCTTAAGATTGAAATCATTGCAGCATGGAACATTTGACAGTCAACATGGAGAATATGAATGGCTTATACAAGGAAGAAGACATGATATGGAAACTAGTAGAAGAAAATTCTTCTTATAAAGTTTATCATTTGATATAAATTAATTTAAAGATCGTGTTTCAAATAAATAATAAACTTTTTATAGGAAACATATCAAATTTTCTTTTATTAAACTCTTACAATGTGTTAATTTGTAACAAAGATATTAAATTTTATTTTATAACATAAATTATCACGAGCTATAGCTCATTTAGTTTTGCATATTCTTTGTTTAAAAATTTTAGGTTTAAATTCATTATAAAATACCTCTGTACGTTTTAAAACATAAACTGCAGCTTGAAGACCACCTATATTTACACCTAAAGTTTTTGTTACACTAAACAAATTTCCAGCTGTTTGTAAGGCCTATAAAGAAGAAAAAATAACAAGTACAATTTAAAAAATAATTTGTTTCAAGAATTTTAATGATATACCATGGCTAAGCTGCGTCTGTCATAAGTTAATAGAACTACGCGACCCGTAAATTTCATAATTCGTCCTAATTCTATTAAACATTGCTTATAAAGTATTCTGTTGTCCATCATTCGTCCGCTTCTTTTTCCAAATGGCTATAAGAATTATTTGACAAAGTTAATAAACATAATAATGTACAATAAGAATATAACTGAATGTTCAATTACCATATCAGTAACAGCAATATCAATAAAAGAATCTTTAAATGGTAAATGTGATACACTCCAATGTAATACATCAATTTTACATTTATCAGAAGATGTATCAACATTACATTTTGTTCTAAGTACAGCTTTTGGATGATTGTCTCCACCGATAATATAAGATTGAGGATATGCTAAAGTTGCCTAAAATTCGTAATGTTAGTACTTCTTAATGCAATATATTTATACTATATTAAAGCATTAAAACTATAGTAAAAGTGTTGTTATTACCTCAATTGGAATAGAACCACTACCACACATTGGATCAATTATTATATCCCCTGGATTAGGATGAGCTAATCTTAATAAATTATAACATATAGTTGCTCTAAGGGTAGTAGGTCCAAAACACGTAATATTCCTATGATGTTTAGATTCAGGTGTAACACGTAAACATGTTACCAATTCATCTATTCATAGTATAATATATATTATTGTTTATAATATATTAATTATATATGAATTTATATATCACTTACTTTCAATTAATTTACAAAATATTTCTAAATAATATGCAGATAAATCTACAAGCCAAAGATATTTATCTTGTAATTCTCCTCCAATAGCTCTGGCAACATCAGCTGATTCAAATATATGTTTGCCAGTCCTTTCACATGTTACTCTGTATTTTAATACTTCATCTTCTTTGGCATCGGATGGATCTTGACCCCTTTTCTTTCCCTTAGATGCAGTATTTGAGAAAATTGTGTTACAAAGTTTACGATCCTTTTCTGCTAAATTATATTCATCAGGAGTTGGATATATTTTCCCTTGAAAACCAGTAACATGTTTCCAAGCATTTAAAGTCTTTTCTAATTTCATATCATTATACACAGCATCTTTAAATAATTGTAAATCAGCTTCTTTATTATCTCCTAAGAATTCAAATCTTCTAATATCTGCTACAATAAATACATTATCTACAGATCTTAGCTCCTGTATCTAAAATTATAATAAAAAATAAGATGATTTTATTAATTTTGTATACAGCAATTCTATACTATATTTTTATTTCACTCAAATATTCTTAAATTTATGTAGAAACATAATATATTAAGGAACAATAAAAAATATTAACAAAAGATAATAGTACTTGTGCAAATTGATTCCAGCGTATATTAAAATAGATTTTCCCGCGCTCTTTAATAATTTTAATATTTTTGTCTAACTTTTCTTTACACTCATCTACTGCTTGCCACTCGAATCCTAAAATTATGTCATTTTATAGGTTACACTAAAGAGCCAAGTGTTTTCTAATTAATGATGAACAATTAGTTACCTGTATCAACAGTCGTTGCAATCATAAAAACATTATCATTCGTTAATGATTCTATAAAAAGCGTTTGTAAACTTAATTCGTTGTCTATATTCATGTCAGATTTTATATTTTACATGTAAATTATTTTGTGTCTAGATGAGCACGTGATGATACACGTGCTATTATCAAACTAGCACTATGCGTCAAACCAATCAATTAAATTACATTTAATTATAAATTTATATTATCAAAGTAAAATTAAATTAAATTATTACATTTTATTTATTTTTTATATTAACTTATTTAAATTTTTACTTCATTAAAATTTAAGTATAAAATATGATATCATCATAGCATTTACAACTATTTAAAACTATTAGAACATTAAGAAATTTCAAGAATACGAAAATATGCATACAATTTTAATCCATGAGTGAAAGGTAGCAAAAATCGCGCGGTTACGAAGTTCATTTTTGTGCAAAATAAAGAACACCTCTTTGAAACTCATGAGCTCCTGATACAAGATGTCAATTTTGTTGAACAGTTTACAAAATTTCTAACTTTTGCGAAATGTAACAACAAATGTTTATCAAATATATTGCATAGAATGAAAACCAGCATATATTGCAAAATGAATGACATTCTAAATAATTATAGTAGTGTCGTAAATTTATATGCAGAATACATCTGTGTGTGGAATACGTGTATTTTATCGAACCGCCGACAGACGAAAGAACGTTTATCAATATAACATTTTCTCAAGCTTTAATTTATTAATTTATTAATAATTATAGTAGAAATGTGTTGATATAATTAAAATAAATAAAATTTCCTACAATTAGCTTTTATATTTATTTTTATTGTCTATTACATTGTATTGTTTGTAATTATTACTTCAAATAGAACATATTTTTACGTCGTAAGTAACTAGTGTTTAATAATAAAAAATAATTATTAACAATTTTACACGTTTTAGTCATTTCTTTAAATTGTATAAAAGATAATGATTAAAAAGTTGTTAAAATCATTATTAAAAAAATTATTTGAAAACAAATCTAAAAATTATTTGATATCTGAATGTAAGTACTTTTATCAATGTACGATATATTGATAAAATATAAATACGTCAATTGGCTTCATAACGCTGTGATAACTTTTTATTGACAAGAAGTGAAGTTTAAATAATCGACTGTATCAAATTAACGTTTAAAAAGAATCAAATATAGTTGAAAATCGCATACATATAATATAGATCAAAATACTGAACTATTGAGTGATCGATTGTAGTATATATGGCAGTACATTTCCTTCAAAGACGTGAAGAGTATCATAGGAAAATCACTTTGTAAACTCAGTTGTTGGATTTAACGATCCCTCCAGGATTCCAATGAATATTCATGAAAATCAGTTTACGTGAGTTGACATTCGCAGTTATCCTCAATTTAATTCGCTGTATGGATAGCCTACGAAGTCAGTTTCTGTACTTTACGAGTGATCCTCCTATTCACGCGACATCGAATCTGACAAGTTGTTCTAACTTGTATTGTAAATAGCGATGTAACCTCGAAACGTGCAACCTATAGATAGTATAATGAAAAGTTCTTAATTATATTTAGTTAGTATATCGGTCATGAAATTTGTTTTAATTTGTAATTAAAATCTAAATCAGAAGCTTTTATCATATCGTGTATGAGGTTAGTTCTCACCTAATTCACGTTTAAATCTCATTACATTAATACGTACGTTTCGTTCTCATAAATGATAACGGGCTCTAATTTCGAGCCACAGCTAATTACTTAATTATGTTGAATAAAATTACCATTCAAAGTAACATCGTAATATTGAAGTAACGTTATATTCTCGAACTTTTTCGATGTATTTACCGATTAATGTAAACATTCGTATTACTAATATGTGATTCTCGTATCATTTCTTTTCAGATATACATAGATCCTTTGATTGCATTTATTTTGTAACACTGATGTAACTAATAATTCGAATATCATATGCTATTGGTAAGTAACTATCGTTTATATAATTCGTATGTGTTTCGAACAATTACTAACCTGGTCTCTAACCTGTTCTCTAACTTGATCGTAAAATTTCAGAGAAAATTGAATCGACGCTCATTCTGTTCAATGAAGTTTCGAGTTATTAAATAAAGGGCATCGTTCATCCGGAATATACATGGGAGCGCTCGTTGATCTGGACGCACGCAGGTAAATATGTAATTTCCTGTTATTCATAGACAATCGTCTGGTATCCTGGATTAAAACCGATCATTAGGTGGTTGCAGGCTAAAGGGGGAGGTTTCCATCGTGAAAGGTGGAAACTCGTGGAGGCGTCTGCATCCCAAGCCCGGGTCATTTCAGGTCGAAAGTTCGTCGGGCCATACGTCTCTCTATACATAGAAGCGACTCACCTCCTCCCCCTTGATACTTCCACCCTTTCTCTCTTTCTCGCGCATCCTGTCCCGCGGACTGACAGCTGAAGCCAGAAGTGACTGAAATATTCATCGGCATAAGGCGAACGAGGCGCGACTGAACGTCGATCTGTCAACCTCTTTGACTATATAAATATGGACTGCCATCGAGCTTCTGCGCGTTATATAGATTTATAGCAGAGAAAAAAATGTTTTCAACATTTTTCGATCGTTGTCGAAAATATAGCACGTTAATTTTAGTACGATCCTGCGGAACTTTAAATTGGGACGAATACCGCCAGAAGTCGTATTTGTATATCGAAAATTATTGAAAAGCTTTTTCAATATTGTTTCATTATTTATGTAAGTAATTTCTTTGTAATTACAAATATTTTCAGTTGCCAATTTGAATATAGCATTAGAAATTCATATCGTTAAATATCACGAATTTTTATAATATTTTTTAATCATAATAAATGCTATGTTAGGAGATAATAGTTCATGTAAAGTCGAATAAAATATATGTTATAAAGATTTAAGATACGATAGCGTATTTCGAGATATGAAGCTTTGTGTTTCAGAATATGTCTGTCAGAGTATTATCAAGGGATTACTCTTCCATGGGATCCGGAGGACGACAGATCATCAGGATTGCCGAGGAATTTAAAGAGACAGTGACTTTGCATCGCGAAAGTCATAAAAATATGACTGTTTAATACCTACATACACGGTTCCGTTAAATATATACTACACATCTTCTCTAAAATAGCAGTTCATTTCCCCATTTCACTTAAATTGATTAACATTTGAATAGAATTAAAAATCAGTTAAAATATCACTTTTATTCTTAATTACTTAAACGTCCGGTCACACATACTCACGTTCCACTTTCTCGACTGTATTTTCTAAACTCGTTTCTTTATTTTAGGAACGATGGAAGAGCTTCCACAATTAACAAATCCGATGACGAAATCCAATGGCTCAATCATGTCCCAATATTCACTGTAAGATCTCTATCGTTATTTCATTTATCAGTGACCGACACGGAAAACGCAAATGCCTTTTCACGCGAGTTATTCTCGACTATAATGCATCCACACGTTGCAAGGGGGAAGCGAAGTGCTCTATATGCGACTTCGATGCTTGTTTGTCGTCCACGCACGACAACCAGGGGGATGGCTAACTAGACGGCGAATTAAGCCGGCACTCCGAAACGCTTTTAAAATTTAAATAATGCATCGTTGCCCGACCCGTCTCTCCCGCGGAAGCGGAATTTCTCATTGTCCGCGTTCCTTCACCTGTCGACCCTCGTTGCCTTGACTTTTTGGCAGTTTTTGAGAAATGCTCGGACGTCGCAACCTGTTACCATCGACGGGCTGGCCAAACATCATGGGCTTCCGTACCTCCACCGGCAGACGGAAACGGAGGTGGCTGACAAGGATGTGGTATGGAAGAAGAAAGTTCTCGCGGAGTCGAGCACAGAAATATCGCGTGCTCCCCGTAGATATAAAAACCGGATTTCCAGCCGGGCCATCTTCGGTAATTAACGTTGAATCTTTTATGAATTTTATCGGGTTGCTCCCCTCGCGTGTCGATCGCATATCCGTTTCGCCAGGGGAAAATCAGATAAACGATATCGATGGACGTTATATTTAAATAACGGTGCTTGACGGAATTGTAGGTACGTCGAGGTGTATCAAGGATGGAAATCTGAGAAATCGAACTATCAGAAAGATGCTTAGGAAACGTGGAGGATGTTGAAGAAGGAATAGAATTGCTGAAGAATTATTTGTAGATATTCAAGATGGTAAACCTAGGAATGGGATAAAATAAATTTTTGTTCATGCTGTTTCGAAAATGAGAATAACATAGGATGAAGGAAATTGTTAGAGTACTGCAAAAATTTCAGATATAACGATAATATTAGATATGTATCCTTGGAAGCGTATCATAAACACGAAGATTCAACGGAAATTCGATGTATGAAAATATTGTTTAGATATTTATCGAGATCTAGTATTTGTTTTTTAGATATTGTATCGCAGATATTGCATTTATCGCTATTTCATAGATTAATGTTGAATTAATTGTGCGTAAATATCTTTCATGTTATTAACGAATGTTATCGAGATTTCAGATTTCAATCGCACGCGCCATTCGTGAATATGGATTTCATATTGTTACGAGATTGTAACAAATAAATATTTTAAAAACGAGCGTTACGGATTTATGAAGCGAAAAATAAACACGGTAATTAATTCTGCAAATGTTTTGAAAACAAAAATATGTAAAGTTTCGAAAAAGTGTGCAAAAAACACGTAAAATTTCAAGTAACAAATACGTAGATATACGAGATGAACGATCGTTTATTATCAAGTGTACGATACATGTCAGTGACGGTACAATTAACCGTAAGTATCGGTCAATCGATCGTTCAAGTAACAATTAGTCGGCGATTTCAGAAGTCAAGTGTGCAATTATAATTTCAAAGGAATAATTTAATTCGTTTGAGAGGGGTTGGTCGAGTATCGTGGATGAAATTGAATAAAGTGCAGCATCATGAAAGACGGTCTTTCTTTTGGTTATTTTTATTCGAACGAAGATCTACAGGCAACAGCATCAATTTGTTTTCAACGTAAATACCTCGGTATTAAATCAATTCCTTTCGTGGAGCTTTCTGCGTTTTAATCAACATCGTATTCAAAGGCTTTCTAAAACGAATATTTACAACAAAAACTATG